GGGAACGCAAATCATTTTCTATCCATCATCCCAGCAGAGAGTGAGGGAGGGAGAGAGAGAGAGAGAGAGAGAGAGAGAGAGAGAGAGAGAGAGAGAGAAAATGAGTGGAAAAGCAATGAAGATGGGGGAATAAGAGCCCATCTGCAGTCTCCTCGTGTTCACAATATGCCCGTTCAACTCACACTGGCAGCGGTGCCCCAGAAGCATCTCCAGTCTCAGCTTACCTGCAGGAGCCTGTTGTCCATAATGTCCTCCATGGGGCTGTCCCCCGTAACCCCCATAATGCCCGGCTGGGGCACCACCTGGTCCATGCCCATACTGCCCTCCTTGAACTGGAGCTCCATAAGCACCATATTGGCCCCCTGGCTGATGTGGTGCACCTCCGTATGGAGCCGAGGGGCTGGCCCCATAGGGACCACTGCCTCCCCCGTATGGAGCAGCAGGTGGTCGGTGGCCTCCTCCTGGATAGCCCTACAGTGGTAAGACAAGACTGTGTGATAAGTACAAGGAGTAAACGAGCTATGTGTGTATTACATTCTGATATATATATATATATATATATATATATATATATATATATATATATCCAAAACATGTAATTAGTTTATCAAATATAAGTCATTGTTATAGTGTAAAAGGGATACAGAGTTGCTGTTTAGAGATTAATGCATCAGTAATAATAATCCAACAGTTTAATATATCCTATAAAAGCCTACAGGACCCATTCCCAGCACTTTTTAACTTCAACATTTAGCTGTAAACAGCCTACTTCTGAACTTTACTAATACCTGTAGTGTGAGACACTGTCACGTTTTACTTGTAAGGATCTGAATACGAGAAAACTACGAGGAAATTCACGAACTAAACAATCAAGATTCCTTTGGTGGAACAAAACGGGAATATTAAAACAGCTAACGCTCACTTGCATATTGTTTAACTATAACTCCAGCAATGTTAGCGTATATAACGTTCACACACTGCAACATAAGCTAATGAACGTTATTACCACGTAGCGGCATCATTTGCATTGTTTACTAACTGTTACAGCAAACAGATGAATAGCTAACGTTAACGTCACTTGTGTTTTTCATGTCCTAAAACATTAGTTACGTTATATCAAGGTAATGAAACAGATATTACAGTTATTTAACAATGTAAACATGTTGTGCTAATTCACATAAACAAAACAGAAAATGCAGTATTTCGATACCTGGCCGTAGTGGAAACTCATTTCTGACAGACTTCAACAAGGCAGCCGCGTGAAGGCGGATACAGATACTGAACCGTCCGGCTCGCGGTAGGCAGCTATTGATGCATTTCCGGGTCTGTCACCGCCGCACCCGCTTCTTCTGCTCCTCATTGGACGGCAGAGTGGAAAAGTGATGACGACGGAAACAGCGTGAATCACTATGCCCATCACGCTCATGAATAGAAGCAAATACTTCCTGAGTATTCACTCACTGTGTCATTCTGTTATATATGCTGGGTTTTACTGCGAGTCTGTTTGAATTTTGACTTCATATTATTTTAGGGCTGTATACCGTATCTTCACTGTCAGACATAAAACCCTTAATTTATAGCTCTAAATTACATTCTGAATCTGCTTTATTGGCCAAGTACGTGTACACATACAACAAATGTAACTACCGTTTTTATACAGCTATTTATGTTGACCTACTTGTATATACACAATCATCATGTGTTTATCTTTACATAGATCTGTGTTCATCTTTGTTCTCCTTTCTTTAAGCTGTATTTCTATGCTTCTGTAAAATTGTTCATGGATTCATGTATGTATGGTAATTCTGAAACGTTTTTTTTTTAAAAGAACAAAGGACACATACAAAGAAATATTTAAAAAGGTAAGTAACTTTATATATCACAACAATAAATACAAAAATAATATTATCTGGACTCTTCTTTCCCTTACAAAGAGTAATCAATTTTGTGGCTATAAAAACATCTTTTGTATATTTTCTTAACGTGTTCATGCCTGTATCATACCTTCATTAATAAACAATTTGGATGTATTAGCATGAGAACACAACATGCCAACAGTACTCAAAGTACCTCTTCAGCAATAAAGAGCATTTTCTTCATATTGCATGTCTGAGAACAAAAAAACCTTCAAGAGATTTCTGCCCATCACTAAAGGAAGTGCCGTCTGTGCTTTATCTTGTTTTATACATTAGGGGGCAGTGTGTATTCTCAGAGAAAGTGTTTGCTCTAAAAAGTGCATTTACACCACTTTGGGTCTTCCAATATTTCATAGTTTTATTTACACAGAGTACAAACGCAGCTGATATAACAGCCTAACCAAACTGCTCTCTCTCTCTCTCTCTCTCTCTCTCTCTCTCTCTCTCTCTCTCTCTCTTTCACACACACGCACCAATTTCCATAAACTATTCAAAACCCTTTAACTTCCTCTGTAATCTTCCATTTTGAGGGGTTAATTTGTATAAGGCGTGCATTCCTGCAGACATGATAATATACAGTATATAAAAAGCTGCCACAGAAATCCCTGAATTGATGGATATCTCTTTGGTGTTGAGCAACAGTTTCTCATGGAGTTTGATGAATGCATTTGATTGCAGTGGCCCCTTCAGTACTTTACGCAGTTTTTCAACATGGCCACTGCCGTATTGTGCATCATCTTTTCTTAGATGGCTTCTCCTCTATCTTGGTGTTACTGAGATTTTGGATGGAGGCTGTAGGATCCACTCTGATTGATGTTTTGGACCTGAACTGTGACCTGGGTTTAGCCAGCGGCGACATCTCGTGACTCTCGGCGAACAGCTTCCTATCTGTATCGGTCTTCTTCTTCATGAGTTTCTGGATGCGTTTGCAGATGAGGTAAACCATCTCACAGATGCACATTAAGATGCATAAGGCAGAGGAGACCACCATGAAGATGGTGAAGATCTTCTTCTCAGTGGGCCGTGATATGTAGCAGTCCACCGTGTTGGGGCACGGCGCCAGAGAGCACTTGGACAGGCGGGGCATGTCGTAGCCTTCGTAGACGTGGTACAGGATGTAGAGGAAGCCTGTATCAAAGCCGGCCTTGAAAATCAGACTCACCTATGAAAAGATTCATGAGGGTTAAACCGGGAGACATACTTTTCTGGAAGTTTAAAATAAACAAAGGCAAAAGTCTATTTGCCTGTCCATCTATCAATATCTCTGATTTTTCAGTCACTACTAGTCTGAGGTTCATAATTACTGGAGGAAGACAATTGACCTAATGCAGGATCTATAATAAAAAGAGAAACATTTTTAACCACTGCAAGCTTATAACTCATACAGCTTCAGTCCAGTTCGGAGGGAGGGTGAAACTTTTTTCTGATTGGGCCAAGAGAACACAAGCTGTCAAAAAATTCTACGGGCGATCAGGACAAAACAAATCATCTATAAGCACTGCAGTGTATGTCATTTTTTTATGTGTTACATCTCCAGCAAGACTCCAAAAATAAACTTTTGCATCCTCTGTTCTTACCAGGTACGTCCACCACAGCCCCCCACGTTTCTTCCCGGGATTGGCGTACAAATGGACGCCCTTGTGCGAGGTGGTGTACTGCATGTCCTTCTTCTCGCGATACTTGACGTGCCCCACCACCATCAGCGACGGGCAGGTGACAAAGATGAGCTGCAGGGCCCACAGGCGGATGTGGGAGATGGGGAAGAGGTGGTCGTAGCACACGTTGTTGCAGCCCGGCTGGGCCGTGTTACAGACAAAGTCCTTGTTCTCGTCGCCCCACACCCGCTGGGCCGCCACCACGAACACCATCACCCGGAAGACGAAGACCATGGACAGCCACACGCGGCCGAACACAGTGGAGTACTTGTTGACCCCACTGATGAGGCTCTCCAAAGCAGACCAGTTCATGACTGCTGCCTTCGAGGTGGATGAGGGGACGGAGGTGGCTAAGAGCTCCTCAGGAGACCAGGTGGGATTGGTGGGATGAGGTTCTTGATGATCTAAACCTGAGTTAAGGAAGGACAAAGTAGATAAAAAAAAGGTAAGCACTCAAAAGTGAAAAACTCTCTTTACGATAGATAGAGAGCACATCACACTCCTCTTTCCATATATTTATTTTCATTTTATAAAGCAAGGATTGCAGCAAGGTTTTAACGGATTCTCCTGTGTTTTGATATTGCACCTTCCTAAAGTTGGAGGACTTAAACCCGACAGATTTAAAAAGAAGGGTCACAATCGATGCAGCAGCTGACATATCCTGACTAAAATTTGGTGAAGTCTCGAAAAATTCTGGATCCTACATTTCCCATAATGCAACCAGACAGTGTATCACTAACACAAACAAATTAAAACAAATTAAAAAAATTTCCATAATCTATACATTTCTTTTCAATAAAGACAAAAATCCCCTCAAGCAAGTGTAGGAACTTTTTTTTTGCAACTGAGGGAGTTATTGCCATTCTCTGCCTGCTTATCTAATGCTTCACTAGAAAATCTGGATTGAAATATATGAATGGAAACACGGTTCATGTCAGTTTATAATGCATACTTTCTATTATAGATCTTTATTACAAGTCCAACCCGACATAATTCTATGGCATCATCAGGGTTATTTTCTCAGATTGAACAATCTATCTAGTATATTAGTAATACTATATAACAGCGACACCACAAACATCTATTCAAACTTTTATATGGTGTCATTCCCCATCCCTGCAAGATGGGGAAACAATCACAAACAAAAAAGCAATCTTGAAGTGGTGATCAGTTGTGAGGCAATAACACAACCAGGTATAATATTCACAAACATATTCCCAGTCATACCGGATCTATCTTTACACAGAGCTGCCTTTTAAGCACTGTCTCATGATACATCAGTGGGTGAACTCATCATCTGAGCCTCCCTTTGTTGAAAAGACAAACCAATTCTCTCAACTCGATTAGTCAGCTATTTGAACAGTGAGGCTGATCAGGCCGCCAAAGCCATCTCTGTAACCCCAAGTGCCCGTTGCAGTCTCGGTTCTTCAAAGGACTATTAAGGGATAGCGTTTCATTGGAGTTAAGCATGCCTTGATCGTACCACAGGACCCGCGCTCTGAGACAGAAAGGGAATTTTAGTTAAAATATCACCATGTGGATTTAATGGTCTGATTGTGTGCAGACTTTAAAGAGGGGCTGTTGTATATCAACTGCACAGCCAGTTCTGTGTTTCTTTGTGCGTGTGTGTATGTGTTTGTTTGTATGCTTTCAGATTGCTTTGGTTGCATGTCTGGGGTTTGGTGGTGTGTAAATGAAGTGGTGTTTGCATATATGTGTGTGCATGTATGTGCAGAATGAGTGTTTAATGTTACCGTGAGCAACTTTTACCTGGTTATGAAACAGTCTCAGTTTAATTCTGGTGCTTCTACATGCAAACGAGACCACCAGCGAGAAGATAGGCTATTAGTCATTCTTAATGCTTGTCATTGGTACCACCGGGTCGGACTCTATGCAAAATCTGATAAAACCATGCCGTTTCAACAAAAACTCCAGCGTGCCTCCAGCAGCAAGCAGTCCACCACAGACAGACCCAGATCCGACTTCGCTGCCACCCTCAACCTGCAGCTCCACGCCTGGCAGCAGCCTCTGCTCAGCCAGTCCCTACTGGTCTCCTACTGGAGACCCAGGCCGTATTGCTAGGCCCGCTGGAGGGAAGAAATGCATGGGAGAACCAGAACCAGGACTGAGCAGGGCAGAATGTCAGACCCTGCTGCAGTACAATAAGAAGTTTTCTAACAGGAATCTGGTGCTTGGAAACACTAGTACTTTTGTCTACAAGGACCGCAAAATCAACAGAAATTGAAATTTCCTTGTTGTAGCTTTAAAAATATAACTTAAGGGTGCAAACATCTTTGAATTACATATTTGATTGTAAACACAAGGAAGGTCTGTTACGCCACATAAGGCAACAAAAAAAATACCAGCAGGTGCACCCGAAGGTGCACAGAGAAAAAGTTGGATAACAGCCTCCATTGTCCACTGTTCCATTTCAATTCTGTCTCGTCGAATCCATAGTATTTGAATTCAGAAACACTTTCCTTCTGCATTTTTGGCATCACTGTAGACATATAGCTGTCAAATCAGTTGCTATTTTCTCTCTCATCCAGAACTCCTGACTATTAAATTACACAGCATGAAAAGACTTGACTCAATGAATGCCTTCACAGGCACAACATAACTGACATAATGAAAGCCCAGATACCTTCCGTCACTGCTGATGTGCCCTCTCCTTCTAAGTGGAGAATACAACCAGAGGTGTTATTAAGAACATGTGATTCATCAGTGTGAGTTTTCTCCCAATCTCATGCAAAATACACACTCAAGCATACACAAACTTTGAGGTGACATTCAGCCCCGGATGGTAAAAAAAAAAGAAAGAAAACCTCACAGACAACAGTATATCTTGTCTCAGGGCGATGGCAAAGCTCGACCACAATTTGTTTTCCTATTTGCTCTAGATTGCAATGTTGCCTTCGGTACCGACAGCAGCCGGCCTCGTCTATCTCTTTGCCGAGTGTTTGTCTTTCTCTTTTGCCGTGACAGACGAGCCGTATCATGCTTTCTCAACTGAGAAATAACCTCGGGTTCTGTGATGCATTTGATTCCAATATTCCGTCCCAGTGCGATGCAAATACAGCTACAGTGCCTTCATTAAGAGTCTAACACAGTGTACAAGAGTTGTGCTTCTCAAGAGAAAATGACCATAAACATGCTCAGTGTCACAGAAACAGGTGCAGTGTTATAGGCTGGGGTAGTTAGAAAAGACCCCGTTACAATTTACACTTAAATTGTCTTCATCCTGAGTGCAGATCTCCATGTCTACAGCTTTGTCTAGCCCAATGTGTAATCTTGTCTACACAGTTATAGATCCAGAACTGTTTCTTGCTCTACAGGTGGAGCTAGTTGCTTTTCCATCCGCCAAGCCTACATTGTCTGTATGAGTCAACGCTCTCAGGCTAACAAGGTGGGGTTGAAGTGCTCTTGCGAGCCTTTCTTCTTCCTCTTCCTCTTCTTCCCAGCTCTGCTTTTCTTTCTTTTCCTGTCATTCGCACGTCTCGCCTTTATACCTTCATCCTGACCTTGTTCATCTTTCAAGGTAACGCATATCAGCCGGAGGAGTAAAGCACAAGCGATACGTGTGTAGTTATATTCGCAGAGCTTCCAGTTATCTGTCTTTACAAATCTCGCTCTTTTGTGCGCACCAGGCTGCGTTTTTTTTTTTTTTTTTTTTGACATACAAGAGCTTCACTCGTATAATAGAAAAGGAACAGAATGAACAATAGCCTTGCCCTTTTATTGTCCCTGTTTCTTCCAATATCTTTTGTCCCCTTGAGTTTTTTCTAGTATACATCAGATAACAAACTGAAATGCATCTGCATCACATGTATTTTCTTGATCTAACACTTGTTATAAATAAAGACAGAGCCCCTTACCTTAGACACAGGGGAAGCAGTGTAACAGAGAAGCTCCCTGCCCGTGACCTCGTATCGATGCTAACTGACACGGTCTCACCTGGATATTTTGAAGGGAGTTGACTTCGAGGTGTAAACCTGCTGGAAGTGTCATGAATGGGAGTGATGAAGGGGTGGGTGGAGCATTGCACACACAAACACCAACATACACTTACACACTGGCGGTTTTAAGCTGGAATTGTTTTGCATTAGCATACCTATTGTGGGGGGTGGGGGGGGGGGGGGGGGGGGGGGGGAGGGGGAGGGGAGTTCAAGGAAACAGAGAAGCAGAGAAGGGAAATAGGTAACGTCAGAGAAAGGAACGAGAAGCAGTGTAACAGACAGTAAGTTGGACACAGGAGAAAAAAAATGTCTGGCATTACTTAGCCTTCTCAAAATGAAAGTCTGATAAATATCAAAACAGTAGTTAAAAGTTAAAAGTTAAAAGGAATAAAAAGTGAAAGACAGAGGGTACATTTTAAAAGAAAACGTATAATTGGCACGCTGATGTCAGCAAACTAATAAAAATAAAAAACACCCAAAATCCCCTATGAGATCATATTCAGATCCCAAAGTCCTCTTAGCCCTTACACACACACACAGTGTGTAATCAAAATGAAGAATCAGCTAAATCAGCTAATCCCGGTAGGAAATAGATAATAGATGTGTCTTCATTGCAAACTATCCCACACATTCCACAGGAGGGAGGGACATACATACCTGTGTTTTTTTAATTGTTAGTTTTTTTTGTGATATGTTGACAAACCCACTTGTGGAATGCCTATGCCATGAATGCAACACATAGGCCTACAATAAGAGGAAGCAAACAGGCAAACCACAGGTATACATGTGCACTTTAGAACCTGAATATGTGGAAATATGAACACAGAACAATGTCAAAAATGGTTAGGTTTACAATGAAAGAAACTAAACAAAAGGGACAAAAGCAAAAAGGGAATAGTTCAGTTAGGGTGTGTCAGACCATCTCACTTCCTAACAAGCCACAAAACATGTTTTCTCGTTTGGTTCCTCTTGTTACATCATACCAGTCAGATAGTAGCATTCTCAAAATAGTAAAGGCTGCACACGGCTGGATTATACACTCAATATTATGCGATTTTGCACTGAAAGGAAGCAGACAGGAGAAATATCAGACAGAGAGAAAGATGAACATGTTATATGTTGTTAGAATATGTTATGCCCTTCATTGGCCTCTAGAGAATGCTGATGCTCCATCGTTTTGTTGCTTTTTTTCTGTCAAACTGAGGGAGGAAGAGAGAGAGAGAGAGAGAGAGAGGAAAAATGTTAAGCAGACAGAGAAGCAGAGGATCTCATCTCCCCTATTAAAACTAAGCAGCCACATCATCTGTGATAAAGAAAGGCAGCATCCAAGTAAAGCTGCAGAGATGGGTGACAATAGCCTTACTTAAAACAAGCTATTCCAGACGATCTGTGCTGAGCAACAGATTCAACATTTAAAATACCAGCAGCCTTTTGGTGAGACTAAGTAATGATATCAGCGCTATAGCTCTATGATCACTTGTTCTTTATTAGGGCTCTCTTCACCACCCTCCTACTTCAGCACGCTGATCACACGACGCAGTCTCAAGGCAGTTTGTGAAATAGTCACTAAATGCAATTTGCTGGTGTGGTGTGCAGGGACACGAAATGCCAGTCTTTCTAGTGGCAACTGCCATTTTCACATGCACATGCGCAATCCAACACATTCATACTCCCAACTCG